CTGGCCTCGAACTCACAGAGATCCGCCTGCCTCTGCCTTCCGAGTGCTGGGATTAAAGGCATGAATCACCACTGCCCGGCAAATTTTGTTATTTTGAGATAGGGTCTTTTTATATAGCCTTGCCTATCCTATAACTCAATATGTAGAGCCAGGCTGGCCTCAAACTCACAGAGATTTTCCTGCCTCTGCATTGCAAGTGCTGGGATTAAAGATATGCACCACCACACCTCTTTAATGTGTAGGTGCCTACAGTCTAGAAGAGCTTCAGTTCCCCTGCAGCTTGAATTACAGGTAGCTGTGCACACACACTGTAGGTGCTGGGAACTTGAATTCTGAATGTCTCTATACTTGGCTGTTTCTCCAGCCCACAAATCATATTTTAGGATCAGTTTCTATAGCAAAAGCTGAAAGGCTTTTACGTTTTGTTAAATAAGAAATTAGTTAAGTGAAGTATGTTTTGTCTCATATACAACATTTTGCAAAAATAAATGTTCATGCAATACATACAGAAACTGAATAAATTTAAAAAATACATGATTTCAGAGCATTGGAATGAGACTATTGTGTGTGACTGACTTTTTTCTACTCTCTCCCTGGTTTACATAATGTGTAGTTATTTAGAAAATAATGATTTACTTAAGTTGGAATACAAACTTTAAAATTTTGGTGAGATGGCCCAGCAGGTAAAGGTACATGCTATGAAACCTGAGGACTTAGTTTGGAAGGAGAGAACTGACCTCATATGCACACGCATGTGTACACACACGTACACACACACACACAAAATGCTATGAAAATTTGATTATTTTTTAATTGATACAGGTAAAAACATTTTTTTTATTTGTGGGTGCATAATTGTAAAGGCCAAACAAAATACTGTAATACAAAAGTATGTAATTGTGAAATATTTTTTGGGAACAAGAGACAAAATTATATGTTATAACATATTATATGTTAGATTGTTTTTACTTGTATTGATTTTTATATTTGCAGATTGGTATGTTTCTTAATTTTACAAGATGAGTTTTATTTGTTAATTTGTCTTGATGTTTGTATTTTGACTCATTGACTCATTGGCTATCTTACTGACTAGCTAACTTGCAATTAAACTTGAACTGTGTTTAGCATGGGAATTCATGAGGATACCCTGGAATAGTCCAGCCTACTTAGACCAGATATAAAGTTTAAGGCAGAAAGGCTTTTACTTTTTAAAATTATTAAGCGTACTTAGATAAAATTTCTTAGGGTGAAAACTATTTTTTAGCATTAGTTTTATTAAAGTGTAATTTCATGAAAGTTCTGGGAGACACAGTATTTTATGGATACTTGCTACATTGATACTTCAGGTAAGTCATTTAAAGGCTGAGTTTTGTTTTTCTCCACAAAGTGAGATTTACATTGGATTGTCAGAGCTTAAATTATTAAACAGTCTAGAGTCCTGAAACCCATTCTGAGTTTGAATCCCCAATAATTCAGATATTTTGTAGCCACATGAAAGTTGGAGTAGAATGAATGTTTGTATACAACTAAGAAAGTCATGTTTAAGTAACCATGTTGCCACCTGGAATGAGCTCAGAATAACACTGTAATTTGTGTAATACCATTTATCCAGAATTAAATTTAATGTACATAGCCAAATCATTATTATATCACATAAAAGGCTTCACTGTTTTATATTCTTTTATTAAATTTGTCCTCTACAAAGTGACTTAAGTCTTGGTCTCTCCCATATTTTCTGGTGTACTTAATATTGTAAATGTCATATCTGCACTCATAGCTTATTTATCTGTTCAAAAAGTGACTACTTATTCTGTAACTGATGTGAGCAGATAGTGCGTTACATGAATCAAGGATGCTGTTATTTCTAACATGCTAAATTTTGTTTTCTCTATGGTATCACAGTTATCTGTCACACTCTGGCTGAGATGAACTAGTATCACCCAGCAGTGTGCAGTGTCTTCAGTCTAATTATGGCTGATGGTACCAAAAAGTCATGGCCCTAAATGATGTGTCTAGTTTGACAGAGACCTTTATTTTAGATATTGAGTATTGTGCTACATTTCCAGTGATAAAAATAATAATCTGTAACTGTATTTTGTTAGCTGTTGGTTTTCAGTTTTGTGAATTTTTTCTTTTTTAACTTTATGTGCATTGGTATCAGATCCCCTGGAACTGGAGTTACAGACAGTTGTGAGCTGCCATGTGGGTGCTGGGAATTGAACCCAGGTCCTTTGAAAAAACAGCCGGTGCTCTTAACTGCCAACCATCTCTCCAGCCCCCCCCCCCCATGTTTTAAACTGATAATTTGTAAGAAAACGTTAAAAAGTCTATATTGAAACAAGCCAGATATTAATAGAGTCACCCACATCTGAAAGAAAGGTTGGGGATGTAGTAGTGTGCCATTTATCTTACCAACTTCGGGTGTCTTGAATACTTCGGTTTGTGTTGTAGTCATTAATTTGATACTACTCATTACAGACAGGTAACTGAAGTCTTTTCAGTGCTTTCCATTTTTTTCCCTCTTGTAGCTGATACATGCTTGTTTGATTTTATAAATAATCCATGCTCCCTTCACATTGTGTCTTGTTGATAAGCTGTGTTTATTAGGTTAAACATAGTAAATGTATTTTGACTTAGAGTATTTTCAACTTTGGGGTTCACAAAGGATATAATTCTTTTTAAATTAAGGAACACCTATATTGGAGTTTTTGGAGAAAGGGTTTTAAAGGGGCTTTCTGTGGAGGGTTATATATACTACCAGTGTAAGTGATTCTTTAAATTTTTGATGCGTTTAATTCAATTAATAGATTGACTACTGAAGTATTATAACATCCTTAAAAGACTCTTCAAAAGAATATAACTTATACTATTTTTTTATTTAGGCGTGAATTACCCTTCACTAAATCAGCTCATCTCACCAATCCTTGGAATGAACATAAGCCAGTCAAGATTGGGCGTGATGGACAGGTTTGTTTCATTTTTAAGCTACGTTATTGAGCCATTTGTATATCTTTATTAAAAGACATTTTAAAACCATGTCTGTAAAATATGAATTGTGAAAAAAAGTATTGGGGAATTCCTGACTTCTATGATTGTGACTGACTAGTAACATATTTACTAATGTTGGTACTCAGGTAAAGGGTACTTTTCACTGATAAAACTAAAGGGAAAGCGATGAAAGAGAAGTGGCCCAGCCTTTGTATTTTTTTCATTATAAGTGTTTTAAATGTGGAATGCTTGATAAAATCTGCATCATCCTTTCTCAAGGGGCATACTATTCTTGTCTTTATCATTCTGATTTTAGTGTATGTGCTGATGGAACAAGCACTCATAAATTTTGTAATTTATAATATAATTTTAGAATTGCCATTAGCATGTCTGATTTTTTTCTGAATAGAAAATGACCACTGAAAAGACAGATGTATGCAGGTATGCACATACATCTGCAAATTAAGTTGAGCATGTATAGTGATTTAAAATAAACCCAAACCTTTTATGCTTAGAGTTCCTTTACGTGATTTGGTATCAACAGATACTCATTATTCCTACTGCTTGTGAGTAAAAATGTTGGTAATTAAAAGTAACAATTTTGTATAAGCTTGTAGGTTAGTCTGCCTCTGTAGGTTTTATGCAAATACTTCTTTGGATAGAATGAAAAAGACTAGAGGGCAGTATGAGTTTTAAGCAGCTGCACTTGTGGATGCGAGTGCATACCTGTAGTTTCTATTCTTCAAATATGTTAAAACACTTTGGAAGAGTTGTTTTTTTTTTTTATAAATCTGTAAATGTATTAGAATCTCATGTTTAGTCCTTTGGGAAAAAAGTCTTTGAAGTCAGTGTTCAGTTTTGTACATGAGGAAACTGTCTTTTTAGAGATTTTATTTTACTCTTAATTGTTACTTTAACATTCCAGGAAATTGAACTTGAATGTGGAACCCAGCTTTGTCTTCTGTTTCCCCCTGATGAAAGTATTGACTTGTATCAGCTCATTCATAAAATGCGTCACAAGAGAAGAATGCATTCTCAGCCTCGATCAAGAGGACGTCCATCCCGTCGAGAACCAGTCCGGGATGTGGGAAGGTTAGAAACGTTCTTTGGACTGATAATAGGCACATGTATCGGGATAACATGATGGAGGAATGTGATTCGTCAAAAGTTTGTCCTGCGGTAAAGAAGAAAGAGAAAATCCTCAAATCAAGCTGCATGGACTAGTTTGTGGCTTCATTGAGGATTTCACATGGTCACCTTGGTCTCAGTCATTTTTTCAAGAGGAAAATGGGGATCTTTCCTAATGCAGAAAAAATAATTTACTAACAAGTGATGACCACTTTAGACTAGCTAGTACTCTGATAAAACAGTACGCAAGTGAAATGAGGTAGGCATTTTGTTGCTAAGAACAGGTTAGAGAGGAGGAAGAGGAGGAAGTCTTTATTTGCAAAAATTGTTAATATTTTATAAAAAGCCTTTTCTTTCAGGTATGTCTCTGGATAAGCCTTATCACATATGGGACTTTTATAAAGGATCACTAATATTTTTTGAGAAGACGCCTCACTTAGAGGATAAAATGTTTTAAGTTATATTCAAGAGGAGCATTATTGGGACTGTTTCCAATTTTGTCACCGTGATGTGTTAACCCCATTGCCACATATTCTGTAACATGTGCCCAGTGAATTCACACATCCTGCTGAGCTTCTGAAAACCATAGGTTCTTTCCAAAGGGGATCAAGTGGCCCTGGGAGACCCGGCAACAAACCAAAACGAAGGGCTGTTGCTGTGTCTGTTTACAACTTTTCCAGATGCTGGCAGTACCTGTGGACTTAAAGTGGTTTTTAGAGGATCGCCATGGTTATTGATCACTACCTTATGAACTAAACAGCATTTTCCAGGAAAAGGGGGTTTAACTTGTTACAGAATTGGAGAGAAGTCTTTGAAAAGAACTGATTTAAGCCCTTCTACCCAACACCTTCCCCTGTATAGATTTGCATACAGCTAAATCTAAAATATTCTGCTAAAGACTATTGGATGTGTGGTTGATGGGATGAAACCTTTCGTTAAGTTCCCTTTTGGTGGAAACAACCTGTGGTAGGTACAGATAATCCAACAAGAGTCCCATTTCTTTGAGCTTAAAAAGGACTTTGTCAAGTAGGTAGGAGGAAACCTGGCAGAGCCCCTTACTCTTGGCCTAAAAGGACTGATCACCAAGATGTCTTTTGAAGTTTTAAGCTAAGAGGTTTCCAGTGCAATTATATACAAGTGAAGTTTTTCCTCAGTTTTGCAATGGACTGCAAACTATACTTATAACACCACTACACCTTCTCAAGCCTGCCAGGGCCTCTATTTATGTATGTGGCTTACAGCTTAAAGTCAGTAGTTGGACTACTATATGAACTGTTACTATCATGTTTTATACCGGTCGTAAATGCACTCCCCAAACTACAAGAAAGCGGTATGTTTATTTTATAAACCAGTTTTTAATTTTATTAGTGCTATTTATTGTAGATGCAATTGTTTTTATTCTGTTGGGGGGGGCGGGGTTCTTGGGTTTGTTGGTTTTAACTTCGCAGTTTTGAATGACTTGTTGCAAAAGTTAATGAAAACATTCAATATTTAGAGAACTAGCTGAAAGCTACTGATGCTGGGTTATTTTATACTATATATTTGAAACTAATAGTAAAAGGATATGTTTATTTCCTAAATGTTTTGGACCTTTTGTTTTTGTTTTTGTTTTTGTTTAGCTCATATTAAATGCTAAGTGTGTTTTTATGATGTATCGTTTTACTAGCCATCAAGGTTCATGAAAGACCATGAAGAACAGCCCTCTGCAAATTAATAGTATCTTCTAAAGTTAAATTTTGCCCTAGTTTTATGACCTCTGTTAAAACTTAACTATATGACAGTTCATGAGAGCCATTTTATTATAAGGCATTGTCTCTGGAAAAAAATTCCGTAATTACTAATGTTATTGAAGTAAATGTTACTGAGATACTAGTTTTTCAAATAACTAACGTTTTCAGAACTTTCCTGTTACATAGCTTTATTAAATTTAAAACTTTCTGTATACTCATAAAAGTACAGTTTTTGTGTAAAGCAGAGGCATCATTTAAGACATTCTTAATTTTGTTTAGATTGAATCTATATAAATTTTAGACTAAGCTATTGCATAATTGCTGGTATGGTTTTCCTCCTGTTTTCACCTGAATGGTGACATTTGGGAAACTGTTGGACTTGTTAAAGAACTCTGCTTATATGTTTAGACTACTAAAATGTGGTTTACAGGCTTGAATTAGGTAATCCATGGGGTTGTTTGATAGTGTGAGATTACAGAGAAACCTACTCCAATGTATAAGGTTTGCCTTTGAGGAATTAAAATTTAAGAACTTTAAGATAAATTGTTCAACAAAATTTAATGGAGACTTTTAGGAGGCCTTGGGCTATTCTTTGTACTCATCTCTGTCAAACTCTTGCTTTGCTGTTTGTTTTCCCAGCTGTTATTGGTTTAATTTCTAATGTGTCTAATTTGTGTAGGCGTCGACCAGAAGATTATGATATTCATAACAGCAGAAAGAAACCAAGGATTGACTATCCCCCTGAGTTTCACCAGAGACCAGGTTAATATTTTATAATCCTGAAGATTATTTGACTTTAAAATTATTAAAACAACAAAAAATTTCCAGTAGGTTTAAAAGTAAAGAACATTTAGGGCATGTCTACCTTAGGAAATCATTACTGCTTCTAATTAGTAGTTCTTCCCCTACCATGTGTAGATTGTTCTGTCTATTACAGCAAGTCATAATTTATTAATTACTTGAAATTGCTGGCTTTGCAAAAATGGAAATTGATGTGTATTACATGTGTAAGATGCAGGAAAAAAGTGACCTATTTTGTGCTTTCTGTTCCCTATGATGCGCAGTGTTTCCTAGATGCAGGAAAAAGTGACCTATTTTGTTGTGCTTTCTGTTCCCTATGATGTGCAGTGTTTCCTAGAGTATACAGCATTAATTGGAAATCAAAATAGAAATTACACCTTTTTAAAAAAAAAAAACAAAACGTGATACCATTTTTGAGAATGATGGGAAACACTTGGCTTGTCATATCCAAGTGTCAATTTTCAGTTAGTGTATTGTTCACTGGGATTAAAGAAGGGATATGTTTCAAATACAGTCACTGACACACACCTGTAAAACTCCTATTTTGGTTAGCATTATAATGCTAGTGTTGTAACAAATGGCTTTATATAAGCACTTCTTTTTTCCCTAAAGGAGGTAATTGTATTCCATTAGGACAAATACTTTCCCAGTAACAGGGCCAGTCAGATATATTTATGTATTAGTTTGTTGGATCCTTCCTAATGGAAGCAGGGAATAGAGTAGATTTTGTTTTGTTACTTGGTTCTTGGACTATTATACATGTTTATTTTTGCAGCTTTTGCAATTTTGTGTTCTTTTTTGAGTCTTCATGTTTTAAAGCTTAGCTGTTAGTTCTCAAGTTGAAAGGTAAACATTCTTTAAAAGGATTCTGCTGCATTGTCTCAAGCCAGTACAGACTACACTCAAGTTAGTCCTGCCCTTAGCTCACATGATACATATGAGAACCTCTAGTAGTTCAATGATAACATCCTTTAAATATATTTCTCATGGGAAGAATTGAAACAAGGGTAAGGAAGATTTAATTATTATGCCGTAGTAAAAACATAAAATTTGATTTACTAAAATGCTTGATGTTTGAACAGGGTATTTAAAGGATCCCCGATACCAGGAAGTTGACAGGTAAGTTGGGTTAATTCTTGCTTAGTTTTGAATTACATTCTTGGAACTAGTTTATGAATTACCTGAATTTAGTTTCACAAATCTTATTCCCAACAGACGATTTTCAGGAGTTCGCCGAGATGTGTTTTTAAATGGGGTAAGCATTAAATTTTACATATTTAAAGCTAGGATCTGATTTGTTTTGTATTCCCTTGATTTTAATTTGTTATTGACAATATGATCTTTTATTTTAGTCCTACAATGATTATGTGAGGGAATTTCATAACATGGGACCACCACCTCCTTGGCAAGGAATGGTTTGTATCACTGTTTTTTCATTCTATTTTGCAATACTCTATTTTAACTTCGTTTTGCCGAGTCTAATTTTAAATGCTTACTCAGAATGTGATACCTATACTTACCCATTAAGAGACTTGAAATACAAATTTTTGGTGATAAATAGTGGGTTAAAATGAAAGACTTAAGTTTGTTTATGCTTAAGTATGGGCTTAATAATATGGGCTTACTGTAGTATAGATATATGTAAAACATCATGGTAATAGTATAAGCTCTTAACCTGGGT